GAAAGCAAGCCGCCAGGCCTAGGACTAGAACCATGGTCGGTCATGTGAGAGTACAGCACCTGAACTATCATACCACCTGCCGATCCAAATATTTTCAGAATTTTAACCCAGGAACACATTTCTCTTTATTAGTATCATGTGTCACTCCATGAATCTAAGAGTGTATTGCTGAAGTGACAATAAGTTAAATGTCACTTTTTATGAATACAATAAGGCTCTACCCCCTAAGTTGCCAGTAGCAGGAAGGAGTGAAGAGATCTACACTGCAAATGATCCAGGGCTTGGCACACAGGAAGCATCCTATAGCCTACACGGAACCTATTAACTGACACAATATACGAGGCATAAAAAAAAAAAAAAAGATGAAGGATAACTTTAAGATATCAAGCCTGGGGAGATAAAAAGCCTTTGCCAATAATGGCAAGTTGAAGGTAGTGTTTTATTTCAATATGATAAATCCAAAGGCAATCAAAAATTAACAGATTTATTTAGGGTCAGAGTTGGAGCTGTTACTCTATCAATCACCTGCATAATATAGACCTTGAAAGCTGATCTCAGAGACTAAGAAGATCAAGGAAAAAATCAAGAGAGAATCAAAGAGGAGATCCTGAAAAAGGGCTCCAGAGCACATAAAAAAGGAACAAATAAATGGCAATCTGAAAAGTAGGTAAGATAGATAAGGATTTAGGATCAGTAAAGTCAAAAACAGTCTTAAGTTCAGGGCCTGCCCCACAGTGCAATGGTTAAGTGCTGTGGAGAGGCCCAGATCCCCAATGGCCAACTGCAGATTCAAATCTGAGTCCCATCACTGTCGCCCTGCAGGCATGCAGAATAGAGAAATGGAAAAGAAAAAAGATCACAGTATGAGTGACCAGGCCCTCTTGGGGTTTGCTCTCTCTCTCTCTCTCTCTCTCTCTCTCTCTCTCTCTCTCTCTCTCTCTCTCTCTCTCTCTCTCTCTCTCTCTCTCTTTCTCACATACATACACACACACCCATGCACTCTGTTGTTTAAAAAAAAAATTTTTTTTTTCTAAGTTTTAACTATGAGTGGTCAGCATAACACTTCTGAGCTCCTCTGGGCAAAAATTATATTCTTTTACATCTGAAGACTCCAGAAGCCCATATTACAGCACGTGCCACACAGCAGGTACTCAATAAATGCTAATACCAGAGCAGCCCCCTTAGGTTGGTTAAGGAAGTTGGATGCCACATGGTCAACTACAGTTCAAATCCTGGCCCCAGTAGCTTGAAAAACACAAAGGGCACGTGTGCCCCAAATCCCATGCCCCACTGACAAGTTCCCTCTCTCCTTTTCTTCCTCCCTCCCTCCCTCTCTCCGTCTCTAGTGAGCACATGTACCTCTAGTGAAAAAAAAAACTAATTCTTATCCCTCGCCTTGTGCCTGCCTTATGCCAGCAGATATAACTGCTTTATACACGATTCATAATTTATATACCAGAAGGTGCTATTATTACACTCATTTTACAAATTAAAAAAATGAGTCTCAAAACATTTAGGTCATTTACCCTCAGTCAAACATCTAGGAGGATCTATCCTAGGAAGAGACCATTAGATCTGATCAGATCATTGCCAAACTAAGAAAGAGCCATTTCAAAGAAGTACTAGAACTCATATTGCTGTGTTAAAGTATGCCAAAGGTACCCACCATTTAGTCCCTGTTTACAGTACATTTCATAAATAAATAAAGTAAGTATGTGGCCAGTTTAAAAAACACAGCCACATCAATTTTGTGAAACATACCTAATATCACTTCCGCATCCCCATTTTCCCATTCCCTTCTTCCTCCACCCCCTCCCAAGTAGACAGATACCTGATCAAGTGGATTCTCTCTCCAGAAACAGACTTAATTTGGAGGTATCTGTTGAGAACCACGATGCAGAGTCAAAGTGAGTCTGGCGTTGACATGACGGTAAACCAAAGTGATAAGAAAGCAGAGCACAAGAGCTTTAAAGAGAAGGCCAATCTGAAAGGAACTGGAACAGATAATGCAGTGAATAGCAGAGACATAAGACCGTATGTTCCCAGAAAAAACTGGAAAAGAACCTTCCTGAAGACACTCTGGTTCCCAGGACACTGAGCTGGAATCATGCAAGGGACTTCAGAGGCAGTACTCCCAATGGATGACAAATGCCTTTTTAAAGAAAGCTAATTCAGATGACTTTTTGTTCCTTTCAGCCAAATAATCCTTAAACCATTAAGAGTGGTCAAAGAGAAGACACTGAGTTAAGGAGCTACACTGTACTTCTCACTAACTTTTTGAGGTGGTTAGTATAACTCTCTTTTATAAGGAAAATTAGGCTCAAGGATATTAACTGATCTGCCTGACTCTATAAGCCTAACTCCTTACCATATACCTCATTTTCACTCAGGTGACATCCTCTCTGTTCTGGGCCACTATACCATTTATTTTATTGCCTATGAAACTTTCTCAGACTAATCCAAAAATGTTAACTTTTCTTCTTTTATCGTGTCTAGTATCTAACCTGTACCTTTAAGTGTTTTTACATAAGCGTATATATATATATAAAAGGATGAGTGAAGAATGAATCTCTGGATCTCCCACTGTTTTTAAATTGATAAAGCATTTTCTCTCCCTTCCCCACATTAGCAGTTTACACACCCAGGCTAAGCTCCTGAACTGTCCCCACCCCTCACCTCACTCTCTCCAAGTGGTTGATTTTATTACTAAAATGCAGGCCACTTAAAATAGTCTACCTGAGTAATTACATTCCCAAAGGTACTTCTAGTACTTTTCAAAAGCAAGGCCAAAAAACAAATACCCTAAAGTTTGAGCTTCTTGCCAAAAAGTTATAAAGAACAGCAAGAGATTAGGTTTTTCTACCTCTGAAATCAGTTTTTGCCAACATAGAATGGGAGGAACTTTTCTAATCTAACCTTGTCGCCTTTGCCCACTGATAAAAAGAAGACATTTTCTAAGTTTTTCACATTTTCTTCAAGTATAGACTGAATTCCCTATACCTATTAATAGCTGGAAATTTCCCTTTTAAAAGACCTATAATGTATCACCTGAATTGGTTTGAGTTCTTTTTCCAGGCAGTAAGTTCCTGAAACTTTAATTAAAAGCATCATCCTTTCTCTAGTCTCTAAAAGCAAAGGATGAACTTTTTCAGCTTCTAGACTTCACCCTAAAGTTCAGAAGCTAAGAAGCCAGAGAATTTCCCACTGATTACAGTTCTTAGGCAATTCCCATATTCTCCACAACTAGAAAATCTCAGTGGCCTACAAGTACACCACGTGGACCTTATTTACATTATCAAGAGAGCAATTCTAAGCTCAGCTTAGAAAACCATGTTTTTCCTGATTCCCTTACATTCTTAGATCACTCATATATCATTCTGTTACAGCTACAACTTTAATCATTATGAGTTCCGTCAATCCTTAGATCAGTACAACTAATTGAGTTGGGTCAATCCTTGGATCAGTTGACTGAAAGGAACAAAAAAAAAGCACGACTAATCTAGGTACTACTTGATAAAAACGTGACTGTATTTTTTAAAAATGTGCTAAATTGTACTATTTTAACCGACATTAATCAGGCTGGGCACTGGGCTACATTTACTATAAACAAGACATTAAAAACAAAATCATCTGCATATTACAGAGTACCTTGTCTTTTCCGAGTACCTTAAATTTTCTGAATATTTTCTTTCAGACATAATAAAATTAGTATCAGTCAACATAACATTCCTAATAACTTCGGAAGAAGCTAAGGAAAACAAGCGTTTTGCAAGCAGCTGGATAATTACAAACCTGCAAAGAGAACCGAAATAGTTAAGCTGTTGGCACTAAGGCCTTTAGATAGGTATCTCTGTATTTCTCACCATGAATATCCTCAGCATCTAAAGCTAAACCACGTCCAATTCAGTAACGTTTTACAGAAGGAAACTGAAAAAAAGGAACTACTAACAAGTGATACATTGCTGGTTTAGATTTTACTGCCATTATCATTTTGCCAAAGTTCATAAAAATACAATATTTTGGCTACACCTACATATTTTTAATAAAGAGTTTAGATGCCTGGCATAATAGTATACCAAATCTATTTGAATACTGCATGCCCAGCGTTTAGGCCATTAACAGCCTAAGAGAGAATGTGACAGCAAATCCAAATTATCAATACTCCTAGGAGCCGCCGGACGCTTTCCGTTTCTGTCACAACATAGGAGTAGCGCCTGATCCAGAGCTCAAGGGTTCTGACAGTGAAGATGCTATTCGGGGACAAAGTGCAAGGTCCTCCTCCTCCTGCATCAGCTCCTGTGTGCGCACCACGAACACAAACTAAGAGCACGCACCACCACGCACCAGGGGGACCTGGCTCTGCAGTACACCCTGGGGATGTTAACTGAGACCGTCAACTGAAGGGACAGCAGCGCCACAGCCCCACATCGGACCTCGAAAAGACCCGTCTCAAGCCCGAGGACCCTCCCGCCGCCTTGCGCTTTCTCCCTCTGCCCTACTCCTCCCGCCCTCCTCCCACCGCCGGACGAAGCCACAACCGGGGCTGCGGAGTGGCGATGAGGCTGGGGCGTCTGGGCCGCCCCGCTCCCTGCAGTCACCCCGGCCGACGCGCTTAATGACGCCCGGGACAACTCTGCGCTCTGCTCACCTGGGGACCGCAGCCTCCGCGGCTCACAGACATGTCACCTGCCAGCAACGGCCCGTCGCGCGAGC